ACACAACAGCTCCTCTACTATAGTCACGGCCAGTACTCACAACTAGTCAGCCTTAGGGTGAGTCCCTCCAAATAGCAATCAAGGCTCAAATACAACAGGAGAGTACAAACATCTCAAACAGGGGACATACCTGGAGTACCCTGCTTAGGTGACCATGGAGATTGCACCACTGAATGCCACGGGTCATAAGGCCACTCTACCAAGACTGGGAGAAGGTACAGCTCTACTAATGCATAGAAACAAGCACAGGGAAGCAGCCAAAATGGGGAGACAAAGAAACATGCCCCAAGTGAAAGAACAGGAGAAATCTCCTGAAAAAGAACTAAATAAAATGGAGGAAAGCAATCTACCTGATACAGAGTTCAAAGAAAATTTCCCTGGCTGATGTGGGACAGTGGATTGAGTGCTGGCCTGTGAACCAAACAGCCGCCAGTTCAATTCCCAGTCAGAGCACATGCCTGGGTTGTGGGCCAGGTCCCCAGTTGGAGGTGCATGAGATGCAACCACACATTGATGTTTCTTTCCCTCTCTTTCTCCCTCACTTCCCCTCTCTCTGAAAATAAATAAAATCTAAAAACAAACAAACAAAAACTATGGTGCCCTGGTTGAGTAGCTCAGTTGGTTAGAGAGTTGTCCAGATACACTAACATTGCTGGTTCAATCCTGGGCCAGAGCACATCCAAGAATCAACCAATCAATGCATAAATAAGTGGAAAAACAAATCAATGTTTCTCTCTCTCTCAAAATCAATAAATTAAAAAAAAAAACCCAATGGTTTTAAGGATGCTCAAGGAACCTCATGAGAACTTCAATAGCATAAAAAAAGGACATACAAATCATAAAAAAGAGCCAGTCTGAAATGAAGAATACTTTAGAGGGTATATACAGTAGATAAGATGAAGCAGAGATTCAAATCAGCTATTTGGAAGACAAGGTAGGAGAAAACATTCAATCAGACAGCAAAAAGAAAAATGTAATCCAAAAAATGAGAATAGTTTAAGGAGCCTCTCAAACAACATCAAGCATACCAACATTCACATCATAGGGGTTTCAGAAGGAGAAGAGAGAGAGCAAGGAATTGAAAAATCTACTTGAAGTAACAATAACAGAAATCTACCTTATCCTGGTGAAGGAAATAGACATATAAGCCCAGGAAGTGCAGAGAATCCCAAACAAGATGAATGCAAAGAGGCCCACACCATGACACATCATGATTAAAATGGCAAAGTTTATAGACAAAGAGAGAATCTTAAAAGCAGCAAGAGCAAAGCTGTTATATAGTTACCTACCAGAGAGCTCACATAAGACTGTCAGCTGACTTCTCAACAGAAACTTTGCAGGCCCAAAGGGCCTTTAAAGTGATGAAAAGCAAGGGACTGCATTCAAGATTGCTCTTCCCAGCAAGGCTATTATTTAGAATTGAAAAACAGATAAAGAACTTCCCACAGATTCTGATGGCAGAGGAGTTAGAGGGATGAGGCCATGCTAGCCTCCTCCCAGGACCAATCTGGCATTTTAACTAAATTGTGGAGAAGTCATCCAAAATAAACTACTGAACAATAGCAGGAGAGAAGCCTTATAATGATGGGCAGACAGAAGAAACAGCTTCACGACAACATAACTGGTATGGAGTAAACCTATAATTATCCAAAACTGAATCAAGAAGAAGCAGAAAACCTCAATAGACCAATGACACTTACTGAAATTGAAACAGTAATCAAAAAACTCCAGCACACAAAAGCCCTGGACCAGACAGCTTCACAGGCGAATTTTACCAAACATTTAGGGAAGAGCTAACTCCTATCCTTCTCAACTATTCCAAAAAATTCAAGAAGAGGGAAGACTCCCAAACTCTTTTGATGAGGCCAGTATTATCCTAATTCCAAAACCAGGTAAAGACACAACAAAGAGAGAAAATTATAGGCCAATATCGCTGGTGAGCATAGATGCTAAAATCCTCAAGAAAATATTGGCAAACCAGATCCAGCAGTACATTAAACACATCATACACCACAATCAAGTGAGATTCATCCCAGGGATGCAAAGATGTTACAATATTCACAAATCAATCAACGTAATACACCGCATAAACAAAAGAAAAGACAAAAATCACATGATTATACCAATAACCACTGAAAGAGCATTTGATAAAGGACAGTACCCATTAATGATAAAAATGCTCAGCAAAGTGGGAGTAGAGGGAGCACACCTCAACGTAATAAAGGCCATATACAAGAAACCTAGAGCCAACATCATACTCAATGGGCAAAAACTAACAGCTTTTCCACTAAGATCAGGAACAAGACAAGGAGGTCCACTTTCACCACTACTAGTCAACATAGTATTGGCAGTCCTGGCTACAGTGACCAGACAAGGAAAAAAAAAAACCATCCAAATTGGAAAGGAGGAAGTAAAACTGTCATTATTTGCAGACAACGTGATGGTTTACATAGAAAATCCTATAGGCTCCACCAAAAAACTACTTGACCTAATAGGTGAATTTGGCAAAATAGCAGGATACAAAGTCAATATTCAGAAATTGAAGGCATTTTTTGTATACTAACAATGAAACATCAGAGACAGAAATCAGGAAAAAGAATCCCATTTGCTATAGCAACAAGAAAAATAAAGTACTTAGAAATAAACCTTACCAAGGGGGCAAAAGACCTGTACTCAGAAAACTACACAACACTGAATAAAGAAATTAAGGAAGACACAAATAAAAGAAAGCGTATACTGTATTCATGGACTGAAAGAATTAACATCATCAAAATGTTCGTGCTACCCAAAGCAATTTATATATTCAATGCAATCCTTATTAAAATACCAATGATGTATTTCACAGATATAGAACAAATGTTTCAAAAATTTATATGGAACCATAAATGACCCCGAATAGCTGCCGCAATTTTGAGAAAGAACAAAGTAGGAGGGATCACAATACCTGACATCAAGCTATATTACAAGGTCACTGTAATCAAGACAGTCTGGTACCGGCATAAGAACAGACATATAGATCAATGGAACAGAATAGAGAGCCCAGAAATAAACCTATGTCTCTATGGTCAATTAATATTTGACAAAGGGAGCAGAAGCATAAAATGGAGTAAAAATAGCCTCTTCAACAAATGGTGGTGGGAGATCTGGAATAGTACATGCAAAAAAATGATATTAGACCACCAAATTATGCTGTACACCAGAATTAACTCACAATAGATAAAAGGCTTAAACATAAGCTGTGATATCATCAGTCCTAGAGGAAAACATATGCAGTAAAATTTCAGATATCCCACACAGCAACATTTTCATTGATATACCCTCTAGGGTAAGGGAAATAAAGGAAAGGATAAACAAATGGGACTACATCAAACTAAAAAGCTTTGGCACAGCTAAAGAAAACATCAGCAAAGTGAAAAGGGAACCAACCGTATGGGAAAATATATTTGCCAACGATACCTCAGACAAGGGTCTGCTCTACAAAATACATAAAGAAGTCATTGGACTCCACTGCAGGAAGAGAAACAACCCAATTAAAAAATGGACAAAGGAGCTGAACAGACACTTCTCCAAGGAGGACCTACAGAGGGCCCAGAGACATATGAAGGGATACTCAGCATCACTAGCCTTCAGAGAAATGCAAATTAAAACCACAATGAGATACCATTTCACACCAGTCAGGATGGTCATCAGAAACAAATCAACAAATAACAAGGGCTGGAGAGGTTGTAGAGAAAAGGGAACCCTAGTGCACTATTGGTGGGAATGCAGACTGGTGCAGGCACTGTGGAAAAGAGTTTGGAATTTCCTCAAAAAGCTCAAAATGGAACTGTCTTTTGACCCAGAAATTCCACTGTTGAGATTATACCCTAAGAATCCCAAATCACCAATTCAAAAGAACCTATGAACACAATTTACAATAGTCAAGCACTGGAAGCAGCCTAAGTGCCCATCAATAAATGAGTGGATCAAAAAACTGTGGTACATTTACACAATGGAAAACTCCGCAGCAGAAAGAAAGAAAGAGCTACTATCCTTTGCGACAGTGTGGATGAAACTGGAGGGCATTATACTAAGTGAAATAAGCCAGGGGGTGAAAGACAAATACCATATGATCTCACCTATAAGTGAAACCTAATCAACAAAACAAACAGTCAAGAAGAATATAACCAGCAATGCTGAAAGAAAAAACAAACCAACAGTAATGAGAGGGGAGGACGGAGGGTGGTAATGGGGAAAAGAAGGGGAAGAGTCAACTCAAGGAACATGTGTAAAGGACCCACGGAGAAAGCCACAGGACCTGGTTCATAAGGTCCATAAGGACAGGACCTGGTTCAAATCCAAATACTTCCAATTTCCACTCTGCCTTGGAAAATTACTTAACTTCAAATTCCTTGCCTGCGACATGCAGGCAGTACAGGTTCATCCCTCAGTGGACTTATATACAGATTCCACAAGATAATACATATAAAATATGCAGCTGGTCTAACTTTATTATTATCCCCATTATCATTATCATCATTTTTACTATTAATGTATGTGCAGTTCCCTGACTGGAAACCTGCGGTCATTTAATGATTGTTGGTAAGTTATTGTTTTCATATTGTCATTTATGTCCCCATTTAATTGCATAGGGCCTTGTACATAGTAGGTGATCAATAAATACTTGTTTAATCAATGAAGGCACTGGAACCAGAGTTCTCAGATTTTCATCCTGGCTCTACCATGATGTAATCTGGGCAAGTTATTTAACTTCTTTATGCCTGTCACTGTATCTATTAAAAGTCTTGTACTCACTAGGTTGTGAGGTTAAATGAGCTGACACATAGTAAGGGCTCCCCGAATATTAGCTGTCATCAAAATCAATATTCTTAGTTGGGACTGTATTGTCACAGATGATACCAGCAGTGCCTCCTGGTGCCCACACAGTGTAAGTGCAATGCGCACACCAACTACCCTCTGGGAAGGTTCCCCGCCCAAGCTTCCAGTGCCCCCACACAGACCGGATGAGCTCCCTCTCCCTTGCACCTCTCCTCGAATCGGGTCTGGGCTGCTCACCACAGCTGACGAGTCCACTGCTGGATGTTCGGCCAGGGCGTTTTCCACCTCTGATGGCCCTATGTGGTACCTGTGGGGCCAAAGTTTCCTGCTGTGATTCTGAGTTAGAAGGGCTGGAATAACCCAGGCCCTTCAATCTCATGTTTGGGAGGGTCACAGCTTCCTCTGGTACAGAGGGCAACTGTCAGGAGAGCTGGAGGACTGTGCAAAGGCTGTGTAGTGGGACCAAAATATGAAGACCTGGGCAATGAGGAGCGTTCCTCTCCTCACTGCCTCAGCTGAGGGGTGTGTGGGTGGGGGTGGAAAGCAGGAGGATTCCTTACACTCTTGGGAGACTCAAACTTTGTCTTAAACATTTAGGGATATTCTGCCTCTTAGGCCCAGTACATCAGCATTTCATTTAGAAATTTAAAAAGTAAAATAAACTTTATTTTGCTGATGTATCCAAGAGAAGTGGTTACTTATGTCATTTTCCACCCCTAAATCACATAAGCATTTGGGACAACAGATTAGGAGCCAGGCTACCTCAGGTCAAATTGGGCTCCACCCTACACTATCTTGGAAACTTTCAGCAACTTATTTCACTGGTCAGTGTCTCAGTTTTCTCATCTGTAAAATGGGCATAATAATAGCATCTACTGGGGTTTACAAAAGACTAAGGAGAGTACTTTCACAAAGTAAGTACTCCATAAAGGTTAGCTACTATTTCTATTATTTTTGTTGTTTTTGTGACATGTGGTACGTGCCCATGAGCGGAGCATAGAGAATAATTTCTCCCAACCAACAGGGACCAATAGGGGCCAAAATAAGGTTTCCTGCCCCATTCCTATCCCCCATCTTTAAATTGCATGATGTGTTATGGTGGTTATACTTCTAGTCCTTCTTGAACTTTATTTTGATGCTGGGAGAGATGTACAGATACCCTGGGCCAGGGCTCCATAGACATGGCTCTATTCAGGAATAGGATAAGAGTCCCATCACCAATGTATGGAGGAATGGCAAGGCAAGCTAAACCCCACAAGGCATGTAAAGTGATACCTCCAGGCTCCAGGTCAGCCACACCTACCCAGAGGTATTGATGATGTCATCAGTCCTCCCTAAGAACCAGATGTAGCCCTCTTTATCAATAGTTGCTCTGTCCCCAGTGTTGTAAAAGTCCCCACACTCTGTTTCAGCTGTCTTCACTGGGTCATTCTGCAAAGAAGATAGCACTCTTGTTGAAGGCAGTGAGTTTACAGTTGTGCTGCAACCTGGGGCTCAGATCTGGGTTAACATACTGCTTCTCACTCTAGTAGGCACTTCTGTAGCTTTTGCAATCTGAGTCCATTTTCTTTACGTGCAAACATTCAATGCATGCTACTGGTCAATTAGTGCACAAAATACACTGACAATTGATACCAATATAATACAGTAGCTGAAAAGATGGGAGGTGTCAATAAACATTTGCTGAATAAATTTTCTTTCCCAAGTACTATCTTATCTCGTCCTCCAAGAAAGTCTATGGGGCTGGTATTTTTAAAATTAAATTTTTAAGATAATTGTAGATTTTCATGCAGTTATAAAAATAATAGAGAGATTCTGTGTACCCTTTATCCTGTTCCCCTAATGGTTTCATCTTGCAAAAGTCTAGTTCGATATCACAACCAGGATACTGACATTGCTACAAACCACTAATCTCACTCAGATCTCCCCAGTTTTTTACCTGTACTCATGTGTGTGTGTGTGAGTGTATTTACTACTGTGCAATTTTATCAAATGTGTAGGTTCAGGTATCAGCCGCCTCAGTCAGTCCCATCATCACCAGGATCTCTCCTGTCGCTCTTGTATATCCGCACCCACCTCCCTCCTCTTCCCTCTCCCACCTGCCTCCATATCCCTCACCCCTTCGTAGTAACTAATCGTTTCTCCAGTTTTATAATTCTGTCATTTTAAGAGTGATACTTAAGTGGAATCATACAGCATGTAGCCTTTTGCAAGTGGCTCTTTCTTTTTTCACTCAGTATAATTCTCCAGAGATTAATCCAGGCGGTTGTGTCCATCAATATGTTGATGCTATTTATTGCTGAACAGTATCTTAGGTAAGTGATGAACCACAGTTTAACTATTCACCCACAGAAGGGCATCTGGCTGTTTCTAGTTTTTAGCTGTGATGAATAAAGCTTCTATGAACGTCTGTGCACAGGCTTTGTGTGAGCTTGACATTTTCATAGCTTATTTAACAGAAGAAGAAACTGATGTTCAAAGAGGCACAGTAATTTGCTTTAAGTTGTTTGGTGGAAGGATTGGTATATGAACCACTAAGCAATGTGTTGGGATCACCCTCCTTATAGAACATGAAATGATTTTACAAGGTTCCAGGAAAAAACATTTTTAAAAAACATTGAATCACAAGATCTAGCCAAGATGGAGTTGTAGGCAGAGACACTTCACTTCCTTGCACAACTAAAAGAAGGATAACAACCCATTTAAAAACAAGAGACAACCAGAACTGCCAGAAATCAAACTGCATGGAGGTTCAACAACCAAGGACCGTTCATCCAGACTGGTAGGGGGGGTGGGTATGGGGTAGGAGTGGGCAGAGAGGACATGTGGCAAGGCAGCAGCTGGTGGATGGTCCCACATTCACAGTCTGATAAGCCAGGAGGAACAACACAGGAATGAGACAGACCACAATATCCAGGGTTTCAGCGCAGGGAAACTAAAGACTCAAAACCCCTGGCTGTAAAAATCTGTGGGGGTTGTGGTGGGAGGAGAAACTCCCAGTCTCACAGGAGAGTCCATTGGACAGGCCCACGGGATCCTAGAATTTACACAAACCTGCCACCCAGAAATCAGCAAGAGAAGGGCCCAACTCACTTGGGGGTAGCAGGGGAAGTGATGAAAAGTGGGACAAGAGCCAAGCAAATGGCTTTGTTCCCTCTCTGACCACCTGCCCACAGATAGCACAGCAAAGAGAGTTGCCCCACCCTGGCAAATACCTAAGGGTCCACCCCTTACAACATAACAGGTGCACCAAGATAAAGAAATATGGCCCAAAATGAAAGAACAGATCAAAACTCCAGAAAAAGAACTAAGTGATGAGGAAATATCCAACCTATCTGATGCAGAGTTCAAAACACTGGTAATCAGGATGCTCATAGAATTGACTGAGCTCCATCACAAAATGAAGGCTATACAAAGTGAAATAAAGGAAAATGTACAGGGAACCAACAGTAAAGGGAAGGAAACCAGGACTCAAATCAATGATTTGGAACAAAAGGAAGAAATAAACATCCAACCAGAACAGAATGAGGAAATAAGAACTCAAAAAAATGAGGAGAGGCTTAGGGACAACTTTAAACACTCCAACATCTGAATCATAGGAGTGCCAGAAGGAAAAGAAGAGCAAGAAATTGAAAACTTATTTGAACAAATAATGAAAGAGAACTTCCCCAGTCTGGTGATGGAAACAGCCTTCCAGGAAGTCCAGGAACCCCAGAGAGTCCCAAAAAATGGGACCCAAGGAGGAACACACCAGGTCACATCATAATTAAGTTACCTAAGATTAAAGATAAGGAGAGAATCTTAAAAGCAGCAAGAGGAAAAGAGACAGTTACCTACAAAAGAGTTCCCATAAGACTATCAGCTGATTTCTCAAAAGAAATCTTACAGGCAAGACGGGGCTGGAAAGAAATATTCAAAGTTATGAAAGGCAAGGACCTACATCTAAGATTCCTCTATCCAGCCAAGCTATTATTAGAATGGAAGGGCAGATAAAGTGCTTCCCAGATAAGGTCAAGTTAAAGGAGTTCATTACCAAACCCTTATTATATGAAATGTTAAAGGGACTTATCTAAGAAATAGAAAAAGATAAAAAACTATGAACAGTAAAATGACAACAAACGTACAACTATCAACAACTGAACCTAAGAAACATAAACAAAAACTAAGCAAACAACTAGAATAGGAACAGAATCACAGAAATGGAGATCACATGGAAGGTTATCAGTAGAGATGGGGAGGGGGAGTACAGGGGAAAGGTGCAGGGAAGAAGAAGCATAATTGGTAGGCACAAAATAGACAGGGGGAGGCTAAGAGTAGTATAGGAGGTGGAGAAACCAAAGAACTTGTGTGTACAACCCACAGACATGAACTAAGCAGGGGGAATACTGAAGAGTAGGAGAAGAGGTGAGAAAAAAAATTGGGACAACTGTAATAGCATAATCAATAAAGTATACTTTAAAGAAAACGTTGAATCACATTCCTTTTTGTTTATCAATAAGACTCTTCGTCATGTTTTTATAAGCTCTGGAACTACCAAGATGAAGCTAAGTTTCAAGATCAGAGCTTTTGGCAGGAGTGGGATTTAGCTAGAATTTAGGAAAATCATTTTGTTTGTAGTATAGTTATGGTTATAACTGCCTTCTGTTTTTGGCAAATGAAACTGTTTTCCACTTGCAATATCAGACCAACTTGTTCTTTCTTTTTTTAATAAACCAAATGTTTTAAAATAAAATAATAGTTACTGTGTACATCTGTCTAACTTGTCTGGGGACACCTGGAGGACTGAAGCAAAGCACTCATTTCACAGAAGTCAGAATACAGGTGGGAAAAGCAGCAGGCACTGCTCGTAGAGGCTACCAGGGAGGTTGCAAAATTAAGATGCCTGAGGCAAGAGATTATGGGTGGATATCCACAATGGACCGTCAGGGTCTGGAGAAGCTGGGGTAAAATTTCGAGTCGGGGTGAGGGAATTTGGGGATTCACGACAGCCTCGTAACACGGGGTAGTCTAGAAAGCCATGCACATGTCTGGGCAAGATGCACGCTCAGAAGAGCCCTGAGAAGACCTTAAGCTTTCATGTCAGGCTGGTGACCTCTAGACTCAGAGCAAGCCCAGCTGAATGGTGACGAGGGCCCCAGCACAGAGCCATCTACACAGTGGTTGTCCTCCTCTCCTTTTTTTGGTTGTTGATGTTTTAATTTTCATTCATATTGTTTGAGTTCCTGTCAAAACATTTGCTGAACATGAACTAAAGGATCAGAAGTTCAATGATCACACAAGACAAACAATAGTCTTTGCAAAACAAAAAACAAAAAAACCCTGGAAGTCTCAAAGCAAAGGACTACTATGACTATGGCTTTCAACAGTCAAAAAAAAAAAGCAAAAATAAAATAAAATAAAATAAAATAAAAACCCCACCAGCAATCCCAACCCTTAAGGATGTGGGAAAATCTGGGTCCAGAGTTATCAAATTATAATAGTGAAAGGTCCAGTTTTTAACTAAAAAAGTCACAGAACATACAAAGAAAACAGGAAACATTGCTCATTCAAAGAAATAAATTTAATTAACAGATAAGCAAAAAAAGTCAACAAAGAACTAAATGAAAGCAGTAAAATTATATGTGAACATCGCTTATCGGCCTTTTGCCTAAGATCAAATGTAGTATCTGTTCTTATCAGGGAATGGTGCACCAAGGAAAAAAATTATGTATGATATCAAACAAAATTAATACAAAATTAAGAAAACCATTCTATTAACTGTAGCATCAAGGAGAATAAGTACTAAGAATAAATTTAGTGAGGAAAGTGAAAGGGTTGTACACTGAAAACTGAAACTCATTGCTTAAAGAAATGAAAGAAGACAAATAAATACAAAGGCCTCCCATTCTCATTGATTGAAGACTTAATATTATTAAGATGTCAATACTACCCAAAGCTATCTACAATTTCAATGCAATACCTATGAAAATCTCAGTGGTGTGTTTTGCAGAAATAGAAAAACCTCTCCTAAGATTCATGTAAAATCTAAAGGGATCCCAAATAGTCAAAACAATCTTTTAAAAGAAGAAGAAAGTTCAAGAATTTACATTCTTGATTTCAAAATTTACTACAAAGCCACAGTAATAAAAACTGCCCTAGCTGGCATGGCTCAGCGGATTGAGTGCCGGCCTGCAAACCAAAGGGTCACCGGTTAGATTCCCAGCGAAGAGCACACGCCTGGGTTGCAAGCCAGGTCCCCAGCAGAGAGCGCTCAAGATGCAACCACACATTGATGTTTCTTCTCTTTCCCTCTCTTTCTCCCTCCGTTCCCCTCTCTAAAAATAAATAAATAAAATATTTTTAAAAAATAAAATAAAATAAAAGCAGCATAGTACTGTCATAAAAGCAGCCATATAGACAACTGGAATAAGAATAGCAAGCCCAGAAAGAAA